AAGATTTTCGTTTTCCTGAGGAACTGTGAACAAAATGAATTATAGGAAAGTGATTCAATTGAACGGTATTTTAGTGAATAGTATTTTATTTGCTGACATCGACTTAAGTTGAACAAGGCGGCTCTAAATACAACAAAAGTCATAATAAAGTCTTGCACAAGCAAGCTATAATGCATACTCAACTGATATGGTTAATTGCTACGGAGCGACATATTCCAAAGAAATTGGAAATTGGAAAAGGATATGACATGGTTCCTTATTCTTGAACTTCGTAAGAGATTATGCGTGAAAAACACCCCCGTTTTTGCTATTTGCGTGGAATACACACATGCTCTTTCTCGAGATATAGTGGCCCACTTTAAGATTGCTCAATGCTCAAATACTGATCTGTATTCAATACTTTTCCGGTCTCGAAATTCAGTTTTTTTCGGCTTGAAGACCTCGAACAAGTGCAATAATCGTAAATTTTCTGGTTCGTACCTCGCAACATTTTTCTCAATAGCTTTGGGAACATAATTTTGTTCCGATCTACAATTCAAAAAGGGAACAAAAGGTAAAAAAATGGTAATAGCAGTAGCCAAAAAAAAACCAACAACAACAACCGTCAGACTGAATTGTGTAATGCAAGCTGCGAAATACAGGTTTAATTTCAAGCACAGTAACTTGAGGGTGACTAATGGATTTCATTGTCTTAACTCTTAGCACTCCCGGCTTAATCATCAAACAAACCTAATACTTCAGTTTATTATCAACCGAAAAAATTACATAGAAGATGAGAAGAAATAAAAATTATGCTTCTGGAAAATATGGAAGAAAGTAAATTAACTTATCCAGGTTACACGTTTAACATTTTCAATGGACTGAAGCCACGCGAAAAAAGTATTCTTACTAGGGCACAATATGTGATCTTAAACTGAGTTGCTTAACGAGAGCCTAAAACCTTAAAAGCAGTTCAGTAATGAATGTTTTTTATTAAAGCAATATAGTTTCTTTTATTCCACGATATCATTGTGATAGGTGACAGGATAAGAGCAGAATGCCTCCATTAGACATCAGTGACCTTGTGTTATAAGATAAATCATTTTCACCAGCCCGAAAAGATTTATTGATTGTGGAGCAAGCTATATTTGATATCCGACAAAAAACGCTACATATTTTCATATAGGAAAAACTTCGATTGGAGACAGAAAACGGAATGAAGAATTTCTCGTCTTCTTTGAATGGATGGATAAATACCACCGAACGCGATGTCCAGCTTTTCTTGGAAAATGGAACAGTTATCAACGCTGAAACTGTAATCAGACTATTAATAAGCGCCTTGGTGGCCATTGCTTCTTTGGTTGGCAACGTGAGCGTTATCGTCGTAGTTTTTAAAACCAAAATACTTCACACCAACACTTTTTTCCTGATAGTTAACATGAGTGTCAGTGACTTATTTTACACGGTAATCGCCACACCTTCATTCATGACTGGCATTTTAGGACACACACTCTCAATCAAAGGTCACTGGGGAACATTCATTTGCAAATTTTTCAACGCTGCGTCGTTTGGACTAATAGCTAGCTCAGTATTATCCTTAGCTGCTATTTCATGCGATCGTTTCTTTGCTATTGTATATCCAGTGAAGGGTATCAACACAAAGAATTATCTGAAGTCCATTGTTATATCAATTTGGGTTTCCTCTGTATTGGTCATGACACCGATGTTATACGCAATGAGACTAGGAGAGAAAGATGGCTTCGTCTTCTGTTACGAAGACTGGTCTCCTTACTTTAACTCAGACACTGCATCAAAAGGGTATACCGTTGCATTGTTCATTGTCGTTTATATGGTTCCTTTTACCGCTATGTTAATTTTCTACTCCCTGATATCCTATTTTCTATGGTTTCGTAAGACACCTGGCGTTAGTAGCAGCAAATCGGGAAAGCCATGTAAAACGATGAATCGCCATAGGATTGTTCGAATGCTTTTAACTCTCGTCTTATTTTTCATTATATGTTGGTTACCCCTTCAAATTGTCACTTTTTCCTACTTCTTCGGTGATAGTGAGTTACCGGAGGGATTTTTCTTTGCAAGTGAGCTTTTAATTCGGGCAAACGGGGCAGTAAATCCTATAATTTATACATTATTTAGTGGAAGATTCCGCGGAGGCCTCAAGTCACTTCGATTCTGTACTATTCAGCCTAAACGCCCATACTCGACCAGAAACTCTCTTCCAGTTACTCCAAACAGTAAAGATTCCAATAACCATATACGCGTAGCAAAACACCCAGGAGCAAAACGAAAACAATTTTATCAAGAAACACACGTTTAGTTATTGTTCTGAACTAGTTTAGAGATATTACTGTAAACTAAAGAGTTTTGATCGATTTATATAATAACGTAAAAATTTAAATTTAATTCAGTTATATGTCTGTAACAATTTTCAAACTGATGTCTATAAATATTTCAATGCCTCTGTTGTCTTTGTGTTTGTCTGTGTGTTTGCTTTTGCCCTTTTTGCCGTCTTGATTGGCCTAAGCTTGGTATTTGGAATCTTTGGCTGGAGTTCATTACTAAGAATGAAGGCGGCGCTAGGCTGTATAAGTATGTTGCGCTGTGAACGATAGGGATAGGGTACGAAAATCAGAGAGTTGGGCTTTAGAGGGTATCATTTTTTTCCAGGAAACCGATCTGTTGGTTAAAGATTTTAATCTAGACTAAAAAACCTGGAATTAACACTGAAAAAAAAAACCCGAAATCGGCGAATTTAAATTTACCCGCCTCTTAGTTTAATAGTAAAGAAAGCATCGACCTAGTCCTGCATTAGTTTCTGAAAATAGTGACTCTAGGATAGGAAGGAATGCGATCTAATATAGTGTTGCAAAATTCAGCTGAACTAGGTCTGGCATAGGCTAAGGGTGCCGTGTCCAAGGCCAGCGGCACATCCCGGCCCAGAATTCCTAAAGTCCCCCCCACCCCCAAGAATTAACGTCCAAAGTTAAGATTTACGCAACTAGACCTTGACTGTTGACATTCACCGCTAAAACTTTCCATCAATCAACCAATACATGAGCCGTTGTAATTGGCTCCTGACCGATACCATGAACCGTTTGATTGAGGGAAATATATTTCCAAGTGGTGTTGATGTGGGAGTTACTTAGCGTTACAGATCGAGGGGTGTGTTATTCGCCGAGGCCGAAGGTAGTGGCCAATAACACCCAGTCCCAAAATGATCGCCTAGCTGAAAACCTTGGTCACATGAGAAAAATCTGACAATAACATTTGAGAATGGGCTTCTTACGACAAAATAAAAGACTACTTCGAGAGTAGAATAATTACAACTGAAGAACTCAAGGATAAAGAAAAAATCATTACCCTGTCAGTGCATACCAAAATGCTATCGATATTGAGAGAGCAAAAGTGAGCAAAAGAAAGTTAGGAGAGGCAGTTGACTGTGTCGAATAAAATCGTTGAAGATGAAAATCTCAAACGTGGAGTGTCCAGAACCTGCTTTCAAGTCAGCAAGTCCAGGAAAACTGTACTTATTTTCTTTGCTGAAAACGAATTACTTATGATATCGGGGTATGAATAATTCTCTTGCTTTCCTAAGGAACAGTCCTGAAGCGTAACCCTAGGAGGTTGCGTGATAATCAGGAGGAGTAAGTCAAGGCCAGTAGAACTCCTTTGGGCCCAGGGTACAAGTGTTTAATAAATGGTGAACTGCCCGAAAAAGAGTGGCACCCACCCTCTCTTAGCGGCCCTGACACATACATGCAGGCAAAAGACATCAATACCAAAGCTGTCAGATGCAACAGAAAGACCGTTGTTTCACTTAATATGAGGCTCTCTTAGCCAGACGGGCGTGATCTGGATCATATCAATCTTAAAGGTGAGCTAGAATTGATTTCTTCCTGATGCCCCAGATTTGTCCGGCTAGCAAATGAAGCATCATCCTCCCTTGAGACCCTGGGGAAAAGGTGGGAGCCAGTGAAGTTTTCAAGAATGGGCGCCTCTGCCACGACTCAGCTGACTGCTTCTGGGTCTCTAAGGATGATCAAGCATAGGAAACGGCTGGAATTAAACCAACTCGTGACGGGAATATCTCGGTGAGCATTCGGAAGTCAGCCAAGCGTGGTCATTGCACGCGTGCTGAACAAGAATGCTGTATAATGACAGACTAGAAACAATAGACAACTCCCAAAGCATGATCTGTATTCAATACTTTTCCGGTCTCGAAATTCAGTTTTTTTCGGCTTGAAGACCTCGAACAAGTGCAATAATCGTAAATTTTCTGGTTCGTACCTCGCAACATTTTTCTCAATAGCTTTGGGAACATAATTTTGTTCCGATCTACAATTCAAAAAGGGAACAAAAGGTAAAAAAATGGTAATAGCAGTAGCCAAAAAAAAAAACAACAACAACAACCGTCAGACTGAATTGTGTAATGCAAGCTGCGAAATACAGGTTTAATTTCAAGAACAGTAACTTGAGGGTGACTAATGGATTTCATTGTCTTAACTCTTAGCACTCCCGGCTTAATCATCAAACAAACCTAACACCTCAGTTTATTATCAACCGAAAAAATTACATAGAAGATGAGAAGAAATAAAAATTATGCTTCTGGAAAATATGGAAGAAAGTAAATTAACTTATCCAGGTTACACGTTTAACATTTTCAATGGACTGAAGCCACGCGAAAAAAGTATTCTTACTAGGGCACAATATGTGATCTTAAACTGAGTTGCTTAACGAGAGCCTAAAACCTTAAAAGCAGTTCAGTAATGAATGTTTTTTATTAAAGCAATATAGTTTCTTTTATTCCACGATATCATTGTGATAGGTGACAGGATAAGAGCAGAATGCCTCCATTAGACATCAGTGACCTTGTGTTATAAGATAAATCATTTTCACCAGCCCGAAAAGATTTATTGATTGTGGAGCAAGCTATATTTGATATCCGACAAAAAACGCTACATATTTTCATATAGGAAAAACTTCGATTGGAGACAGAAAACGGAATGAAGAATTTCTCGTCTTCTTTGAATGGATGGATAAATACCACCGAACGCGATGTCCAGCTTTTCTTGGAAAATGGAACAGTTATCAACGCTGAAACTGTAATCAGACTATTAATAAGCGCCTTGGTGGCCATTGCTTCTTTGGTTGGCAACGTGAGCGTTATCGTCGTAGTTTTTAAAACCAAAATACTTCACACCAACACTTTTTTCCTGATAGTTAACATGAGTGTCAGTGACTTATTTTACACGGTAATCGCCACACCTTCATTCATGACTGGCATTTTAGGACACACACTCTCAATCAAAGGTCACTGGGGAACATTCATTTGCAAATTTTTCAACGCTGCGTCGTTTGGACTAATAGCTAGCTCAGTATTATCCTTAGCTGCTATTTCATGCGATCGTTTCTTTGCTATTGTATATCCAGTGAAGGGTATCAACACAAAGAATTATCTGAAGTCCATTGTTATATCAATTTGGGTTTCCTCTGTATTGGTCATGACACCGATGTTATACGCAATGAGACTAGGAGAGAAAGATGGCTTCGTCTTCTGTTACGAAGACTGGTCTCCTTACTTTAACTCAGACACTGCATCAAAAGGGTATACCGTTGCTTTGTTCATTGTCGTTTATATGGTTCCTTTTACCGCTATGTTAATTTTCTACTCCCTGATATCCTATTTTCTATGGTTTCGTAAGACACCTGGCGTTAGTAGCAGCAAATCGGGAAAGCCATGTAAAACGATGAATCGCCATAGGATTGTTCGAATGCTTTTAACTCTCGTCTTATTTTTCATTATATGTTGGTTACCCCTTCAAATTGTCACTTTTTCCTACTTCTTCGGTGATAGTGAGTTACCGGAGGGATTTTTCTTTGCAAGTGAGCTTTTAATTCGGGCAAACGGGGCAGTAAATCCTATAATTTATACATTATTTAGTGGAAGATTCCGCGGAGGCCTCAAGTCACTTCGATTCTGTACTATTCAGCCTAAACGCCCATACTCGACCAGAAACTCTCTTCCAGTTACTCCAAACAGTAAAGATTCCAATAACCATATACGCGTAGCAAAACACCCAGGAGCAAAACGAAAACAATTTTATCAAGAAACACACGTTTAGTTATTGTTCTGAACTAGTTTAGAGATATTACTGTAAACTAAAGAGTTTTGATCGATTTATATAATAACGTAAAAATTTAAATTTAATTCAGTTATATGTCTGTAACAATTTTCAAACTGATGTCTATAAATATTTCAATGCCTCTGTTGTCTTTGTGTTTGTCTGTGTGTTTGCTTTTGCCCTTTTTGCCGTCTTGATTGGCCTAGGCTTGGTATTTGGAATCTCTGGCTGGAGTTCATTACTAAGAATGAAGGCGGCGCTAGGCTGTATAAGTATGTTGCGCTGTGAACGATAGGGATAGGGTACGAAAATCAGAGAGTTGGGCTTTAGAGGGTATCATTTTTTTACAGGAAACCGATCTGTTGGTTAAAGATTTTAATCTAGACTAAAAACCTGGAATTAACACTGAAAAAAAAAAAACCGAAATCGGCGAATTTAAATTTACCCGCCTCTTAGTTTAATAGTAAAGAAAGCATCGACCTAGTCCTGCATTAGTTTCTGAAAATAGTGACTCTAGGATAGGAAGGAATGCGATCTAATATAGTGTTGCAAAATTCAGCTGAACTAGGTCTGGCATAGGCTAAGGGTGCCGTGTCCAAGGCCAGCGGCACATCCCGGCCCAGAATTCCTAAAGTCCCCCCCACCCCCAAGAATTAACGTCCAAAGTTAAGATTTACGCAACTAGACCTTGACTGTTGACATTCACCGCTAAAACTTTCCATCAATCAACCAATACATGAGCCGTTGTAATTGGCTCCTGACCGATACCATGAACCGTTTGATTGAGGGAAATATATTTCCAAGTGGTGTTGATGTGGGAGTTACTTAGCGTTACAGATCGAGGGGTGTGTTATTCGCCGAGGCCGAAGGTAGTGGCCAATAACACCCAGTCCCAAAATGATCGCCTAGCT